TTACAATGTCTGGACGTTCCATTTGCCTATATTAATTATTGCCCTGGTTGTTAGAACGGGTATCGACTTTCTGGCTTTCGAAGAATCTCGACTTTCATTCTGAGGCGTCATAATTCTTCCTCCAAGTTGGAGGTCAAAGTTTAAATGGTTTAATTTGTTTATGTTGGGTAGCATTTATTTAGTAATGTTTTTTCTACGGGAAGGGGTTGCTGACCCTATGCTCAACCCTTATCCTTTACCCAGGCTAGGTTCCCGTAGTAACCCTAAAGAAGCTACGGGTTAAGTTTCTTTAAACTTTGTTTCAGAGAAATTCGAGAACAATAATTGTGTAACATATCAACAATACTTAGCCGGAGAAAATATGTAGACCAAATGGACTGAAGCTTCAGGTAGCTTAATTGATTAATTAGTAGGCAGTCATATGAATATCTAATAGTCTACACACGTTTAGTTTTGACATAAGTGGTTCATACTGAGGATGCCACAGGTACTGTAGTTTGACAACACTTTGCCAGCTACACCTATAATTCAATCGCACCTACCCAGTGAAATCAAAAGTCAGAAGCGAGGAGGTTGGAAGATATATTTGATAGATTATCAATATATCAAGAAGCGACTGATTTAAACTGGTCAGTGGTCGCAGGAGAAGTTGAGTACGGCGTTCCCACTCATGATTTGGTGAGGAAGCATGACGGAGTACCTTCAACTACATGAGTCCATTAAAACCAATGTTGCCAGCATCCAATGTCGAACACTTACAAAGCTATTTATTTTGGGGATTTTTTTTCCGCTATCATGCATACCTGCAAGGAAAACCCGAGCAAACAAGAATGGTGAATTAAGGGGAACTTTTGGGGAAATATAAATGACATCGACTATAAAAATTCGGTAGTAATCCAGGCGATGTTGCAGCTAAATACCACCTGTTTTTTTACTCTGTAGGGAATAATGAGACGTTTCGTTTGAGTGTCTTCAATGAGGTGAAAAGTCTATCAATCCACACCTTAGTAATCCCCAAATTGTTTGCTTTTAGCCCGAATTTACAACAAATTGCCTACTTTTGGCACGACTTTACTCAAACTTCAGATATCGCCCACACTTGCGATATATATATTCCAATTGTAGCCTGAGTTCGCTGGGTATTCACCTTTACTTCGTCATGGAAATGGATATTGGTGAGAATGCTAATTAAAACATGATATCAAATTTATTTTGATCATTAGTATTCAGGAGAAGTAACATACATCAAATTTTCAATGAGTGTTACGTTTTCGTACTACCTGGTAAGTTCTGTTGTGGTCGTTTAACATCTGAAAAAGAAATATAACGTATCAGTTTATAAACAGTGTTTACTTAGCAGACAAAAGTGATCAAGGTGTACATCGCAAAATTAATTTATTGAAAAAGATGCAAAATAAACACTAGGTTCAGCATTTTACTAAATAGTACTCCATCAGTCGCTCTCTTATTCATCGTAGATTGGATTTTAAAATGTAAGCAACAAATACAGTTACGGAGGGGTTTAATCCCAACTTTTTAGAGATCATAAATCATAAAGTGAGGCCAAACTCACAGTTATGTTGCACGAAATATCTCGTTGTGCATAGAAACTATAAAGGAGAGGTTATAAATTGAAATTATCATCTACATTATCAGACGATAGTTATAACTATTGTTTAATTTTCCCCACGCATTATGCATAAAACCTTGTGTTGTACTGGCTAGAAGTTTTCCAAGGTCTTTTTCACTCAGGATTGTGGACGTGGATTTCAATGTTAGGGCCCCTATAGGACAACAAATAAAACTATATATCATTACTTCCTATGCTTCCATAGACTTCAGGTTTGCTGAGGCCCCTTTTATTCACTGTTCTCAGCAAAGTAAAGTTAATGGACAACACTGGGCTGAGGATATATGCCAGAATATATATAAGAGATGTTTATGAGTTGTCATTCGTCAATATGCTCACTTTGGCCATCTGAAAGGTTGATCAATTATCCGATGAATAGGTTGACTTACAATTCTGTTCTGTATAATATATGTTTTGAGGGTGCCCATCTCTTCCTTAGTTGACAGAAACTGGAACTCCAACAGATTGGAGCTATTGTTCGCCGTTGGCTGAAATGCGGTGTTCTTGATAAGCCTCATTATTTGTTTAACGTCTGCAGACAAATCTGAGATAACTGCAACAAGCTGTTGCGAGGTAACACACTTTTGACAAATTATTAAAGTCTAGATAACTGTCAATATGAGTTAATCTGAAGTTTGACTGCATGTAGATGTTGATGTAAAAATTGATCGTTAGGAGTACTTGAATTATAGTACATACTAGGAATCCCTGAAATAACGCAATTTAACCGAGAAGCTCTAAATGAGCACGAACAAATGTATTGTATTTGGCATTCGAAACCAGGCAGTCATCATGTACAAAGAAATCATTAGTTTGTGGTGAACCAAAAATCATATTAACTTAAAAACAGCAATAAAGTTATTACGTCCAAATAATAATATTCTAGTATACAAATTATAAGTATAAACACAAATAGAAGTTAAGGGACGTTACTTAAGTCAGCAGGTTGGTGCGTGTTCGGTCGCGTTTGGTACCAGAATCCACAATTATAGATAGATAATAATTCCAGTGGGGTTGATGTGGTTCCAGTAATATAGCTAAACGTAGAATATGATGGAAATGTCGTCGCAGTCTATGAATGTAGATCATAGATGTTTCAGATTTCTGTTATCGTAACCACAGGTAACGGAGAATAAGAGACATGTTTATAATATCGTATTTACGAGCAGTTAACGTGTGTCATGCAATGAGTATTATAGAACGGAAAGGTTGTGTTCAGAGTCATACACTTAAACAACATGTAGAATCATTTTGTGGTAAATGTACAGACTTACAAAATAAATGCAAATAATATTAAAAGCTATTTACAAAATAGGTTTATTATGCTTATCTCCACACCACACTATACTAGTTGAACTTGTTTATATACATTTATTACAAAAGGCCTACTTGGCCACTAGTGAATAAGGTGTTTTCATTAACTGAAACTTGGGATACTTGACATTCCTGCATCTGGTCTACATTTCAGTTCCATCCAAATCGACGGATTGATACGAATAGCTGCCCTTTCGTTACAGTGTCCCTCTACTAATTATGTTTAGGCTTGATGTACTTACCTTCTAGGCTTAACAATACTCAACGGTACTGTGTCTCATCAGTGCTTAATATACTCAAGTATAATAAGGTAAAAATCCTATCCATTGTTTGATAAATTTAACTGTACTAATTGTTAGTAGATTACGAGAAGTAGCTCTGCTAAAAGCATTATATATTGAATTGAAGTGTACATGTTCATAAGGCCACAGTAAATACTACTCTGAAACAGTAATGTCGGTATTAAACGTAAACGGCTGAGACAAGTTCGAATGTGCAGTTATCCTCGACATTTGATGGCAATGACTACAGCAGACAATAGTTTGTTTAAGTGAATCCACCGCGTCCATCTTATCAAAATGATTTACTAATTAATAACTTGGAACTGGTATATATCCCTAATACAACTGTAAATTTATCATTTTTTATAATCCCGAAAATCACAGACTTCAGGAGCTTTTATCATGTTTCACAATAATAATAACAAAAACTATGTGGTGGTGCACATAGACATTACATTATCAATCTTCTATTGTAAAAGGCGTATAAAAGACAGAGATGCCTTGTATAAACACCAAGATAGTTGACGAACTTCAGGGCTTATGATTAGATGTTCATACTTTAATTTTACGCTCCTTCCTTCCATTTTAAACCATTAAAGTTCTAATTTTACGATTATTATCACCGCATTTCGTAAGCCATGAAATAACTTAAACTTCCATCGTATCAACAGAAGCCAATAAAATTTTCTGGTTTGTAATCATTCGATTAGCAAATGAGTTTATTAATCTTGTAGTTAAGTTTACAATTTAGAAAACCAACATAAGTTAAACTTTGCTAAGATCTCAGAGAACCAAGTGCGTGCAAAGCTCAATCTGACTCCCAACCTAGTTGAGTGATAACAATGAGACTAACTTTCAAGTTTCCAGTCTTATACAAGGACACGTATGTACTATAACCTTTTATGCTGTTTACTCAATAGCTTATACGAATATTAAAAATTCGGAAGTTGGTATCAGAAAATCGACCTGTGAGTGGACCATTTATATCAAATTTTAAACATAGTACTCTCAATCCATATTTAACCATCACTCTTCTACGAGGAATAATTTACACCCGTAGTTGAAGTTTATATTCTCTATGCGCAGTAACCCTTTTTCTGATTAACAATATCTAATTTTTGGGTTTTATAGTGACCAACAGTTAGCTATGAACAGTGTAAGCACAACAGTATCACAAATAAAATTATGCTTAGCGGAACATAGACAACAAAATAGTTTCATTATATCTTTTTCCCGACTCACTATTAGATCAGTTTTCTTACTCTGGTTAACTGAGCTTTACCCACTTCATTCTTACTTTTTGTTAGCGTTTGTTCACTATATAAACACTTGTTTCTAGCTCTTTAGCATTTTGCTACTATTTATTGTAGAATATCCTTTCATGTAATAAATATATTTGCAATATTTTGTTTAACTTCCTAAATATGTTTATATGATCAAATTAGCTTCCAAATGAGCTCATTTATGTAAGTGATTCAAAATCATTTTGTAGTCCTGATTTTTAAGCACTACAGGTTGTGAGCATCGATGAGAATCAAACACAATAAAATGGGTTAATGCTCAAATCTTTGTTATTGCTTTTTTGTAAGCCAATGGTGTTTTTGATAAACGTTCAGGGCTGTATTTACATTTATAAAGCTAACTGACAACTCAATAGACAGAGCATGACTCCTTATTAGAATAGAAATAATTCCTATATATATTGTGCTAGCGAAACATCTCTTATGTTAAATCACATCTATACTTATTTATGTGGCCAAAGAAAACGATATTTAAGCTGACTTTTGAAGTTTATTGACAAGATGACAATACTTCTTTATTTTACACTGTACAAAATGTTGCAAAATTCTACAGAGCTAGTTGGTTTTGTGAAGGGCAAAAGTGTAGTAATAACAAGAAGTCTGTGAATGTTAGGTCGGGAACCAAGAAAAGAACTCTGAAACGTCGCCGTCGTATCTAGACATTAAGACAAGAGCACAAACAAACCAATAATAATAAAGAAAAATCTTACATTATAATTCGGAAGCACACTGTAACATTTGGATCAACTGTAATTTTCAGTCGATTTCAAAAGAGACATAACAGTTCTAATAAATAACATTTGTTATGATTTATATCATGCATACTAAATATGCACGCGAGTACAAATCTACAAAATAGAGGTATTTGAATTATTTCCCATATGTTTTTTTATCACTAAAGATCGTCCAACACAGAATGAAAGTACTTTTTTATGCAAGAAGAGAAACTTTTAGTCGCAATATGGATATCCAAATTGAGCGGTAGATACGTATGTGTACAAAAAAGTGACAATCAGGTAGGGACTATTTAAAAGTTAAGGCGAAACAAATGCTGAAAACTAATACAGAAGATACAAGAATCTGAGAATATATATTATGAAAGACTTTTCGGTAACAGCAGTTTAAACTGTCGATTGATCGCTTCCATTGCAACGGCTGTCTCCAAATCTAGTCGATCACGTAGTTTATCCAAGGGTTTCGGATCTAGATCTATAATGGCACAACTAAGTAACATTCTTGGAATACAACAGCATGTACCCGAAATAACAGATGATGGTAGTGGACAGCTTTGAAAAAGGGGAAATAACAATAAAATGAAATTGTAATAGACCTAAGTGTAAAATATTTCAAAGCAAAAAAATAATGTTACTATCACAATCTTTTAGTACTTCGTGTTTGGTGGGAAGTTAGCTTACAGATGAGATAACTCTTGATGAACACAAAATAGTATATTTACGGTTAGACTAGATACTTCTTGAATTCACTTAGAACACAATAACAAAGATTAATCCACTAACCTTTTCCGCACATAAGTGAGGAGCAGGCGTACTGACTGTGTATTAGGACTACGAAATAAGATTTAAAACAATGAGATAACACAAATTCACTGCGCTGACGTTTAATGTGGGTCGTAAATATGTTTCATATTGTTATACGAAAGTATCTTTCACTTTTTAGTATAAATAAAAATGGCTTCAATAACTTCATAAGATTTTGTATGGAAATGAAACAAACGTACCAGTATTTGGTACTTATTGGGGACGTATTTAAAGAAATACATAAAATGATGTACGAATTAGATACACAAAAAGGAATTTGTGGCGGTGAGATAACTGATTGATCTTCTACAATTAAAGTGATATGAAAATGGCATCTCTCGTATGAAAATAAGCAAAATCCTTACTCAGGTTTTGCACGTTGTACAGTAATCATAATTGAGCAATCCCGAGCAATTAAAGAGATCAAGTATTTTTCAACCTACAAAAGTTAAAGGCATATAAAATAAGAGCTGAATCATATGAGTAGTTAAATTGTTTCACTGAATATAAAATCGCGATAAAATGTATTTAAAAAGTCTATTGCTATGCATTAGCCATAATATGATGAACTAGAAATAAACCTGGCAGTCAGGCGTTAAATCACTGTAGCGTAACGCACAAAACTGATTACCTCGAATACCTTGTGTCATCAATTCATGCATATTTTACTGATAGTAATTTGTAGATAAGCACGTTATCTTATTAGATTAAAAATCTACTCTTTTGGATGATGGTCTTTTATTTAAAATAGGTTCATTTGAGGGCTTGTGTGAATAATTAGGTCTCATGGCCACCTATCACACGACATTTTATTCGCCCATTTCAGCAATTACAAACATCATTTATTCATCGAATCACAATCCATGAAGGGCATGGTAAGGAAGAACATTAGCACATGAAATAATTAGGTTGCAAGTATAGAAATTCCAACAGGTAAAGTGTGAATAATAGAATTGTGTTCGAAGTTTTAAGAGGAATTATTTCTATCTATAAACTAATGTAAAATTAAATAGGGGGTTCTCCTGTGATTCTATATAATCGCGATACAGTGGTGTGAGTACTGTATAGCATGACAGAGAAAAGTCACCCTTTTTAAAAAAGACCTTCGATTATATCGCAGAAATTTCAATTACCCTAATTTAAAGAGAACAAAAAAAGATAAGCTTACTATATCAAAACTTTCAGCGATTTCTTCTGTGTGCAAATATTTTGACACTTCACCTTTCTGTGCTAGTTTAAGCCACATCTCCCTGAAAAGCGTTATTTTGACCAAAGAAAACAAAATTTTAACAAGAGAAACGTTATTGTGTTTAAAGTTGAGAGCAATATATAACAAACAAAAGCAAACAGATGTCCCACTTTGAAAATGGACAAGGACATACAACAAAAGTATGTATAGGATTAGAGTGGATAAAGTATGTTTACCACATATACGTTCTGACGTATATAAATTACGCGGTGAACACTATCTACTATTCGAATGCGTCAATGATGTCAGGAATCATGTCTGAAATCTAAAATGCTTCCACCTGGAACCAACTAGTGTATGACAGAGATTAAAATAGACATTTGATTACATATGTATTATGAAACAAGGCACATAATTTGCAGCAAACAGATGTTACAAATAACGTTGATTTACAAATATTTTAGGTTGTTAAGCAGCTGATGAGAACCTAACGAAATAAAATGAATTCATATTCTTCTGCACCAACCTCCATTCTTGCTTTCTTTAACAAACAAAGGAGTTAAAACATAGTTCGACTAATTGTCTACTGTTGAGTTAAGACAGAAAGCAAACGCGTTGACTAACATTAAATCTGTTAAAGTCACAGAATATTACTAGTTCTTATTTGATTTTTATTTTATTTAACTAAAGTCGATTTATGTTCGGAAAAAAGACACGTCTAAGTAAAAGAATAATTGTGTTTATTTCATTCATATGATATACGGCGATAAAGATTGCCATGACTGACATTCCATTTATAGTTAGACATGTACTTGAAGTGAAGTAGATGCTAATGTCTGGGATTTAATGGTCAATAACAGAACATATGGTGAAAAGAAATCAAATGACATACAGGAAAAGTATAAAACCATACACTGCTGATGGAATAAATAAAATAGTGACAAAATTTCAAAAATCAAATAGTTTCTACAGTTAAGATCTAGCGTGAAAACAAAAACATTTAAGAAGCTGTCATAGCAAACAAACTAAAAAAAATGTACAGAGATAGTAATGTGACACCATAATTATACATTTTTAATTGTCCATTAAATGAAAAACTTATAATGTAATTTGTACATCATTAATTTTGAGTTTTATACATCTTCAATAGCACATGATTATTTATTATTTATTTATTTAAACACACAAATATTGGTACAATGAAGCACCAGATAAATATGCGCCTCACAAATCTCATTCGATTTGTGTGAGGGCTGTGATACTGCCCAGGTGCCCAGACTAAAGCAGGATCATGAGGCCTCGCCGAGATTCGAACTCGGGCTGCCAGATTCAAAGTCCGAAGTGCTCACCGCTACGCCACGAGGCCACGAACAGACAGACGTAATAATATTGTTATAAAACAGAGGCAAAAATTACAAAAGTGGAAATAAATTTTGTGCAGTCCACTGAAAACTTACAACAGCATAGAAATGGGAAAATACTGACAAATGGCAATACTATTAGTGGATTCTTCATTCTACACTCTCTTCTATGGATATCAAACGTTAACGTGGGACGAAAATAATCAACCATTGATTTTTCTGAAAACCCTATGAACTTAATGGAAATATGTTTATACATGTCGATATGTACGTAGATACAGGAAATTCTAAACAAAGAATTTTTAGTATACGACCACCAACTTACAACGTTACAACACTGCAACATGACATAATATAAAATAATTAATAAGAAACGAAGTGGAGTGGTATCGTGATTTTCTTAACTCTTACAGAAAAGTTCAGAAATCAATTTTTTTAAAGAAACTTTTACGTATGCAAAATAAAGATATTCCACACATAATTAATAGATGGAAAAAATTGAAAAGTTATCATTATATATATATATATATCCTTGAGAAGTTTAATTCTTTACAATCTTAGATAAATATTTGATTGGGTAAGCTGACAAGCAAAATTTAGTAATACTACAAGAAACCGAAAACTTAGACATTTAAATAAACGTTCCTGTCAACATAATCCAAAAAGTTGATACTCTGTTTACACTCTATACACAAAATACCAAAAAGAAACACTATAGATACACAAAATACCACCTAATTTGAGGAATTTAATTTGAACATACACCAAATAATATGATTAATTGGTCGTGAATAAGTCGACGTTCGTAAGTAAAATAATATTTCTCCACTTAAAATTAACTGTTACTCACCATGTCCATCCATGTGATGTTAAAAAAGTACGTACACGTTTATAATGCGGGAAGATAAAAGCAACATCTGTCGTGATCAACAATTGAACAGAAAGTATACGTTGTAAAATACAACCATCTGGTAGTGTACAATTTCTTTGTATGCTATAACAATTATCACATGAAGTTGAATGAAATTTTTCTGTGTTCATGAAAGAGAGAAAAGCCAATATTACACAATATATAAGACCCTAAAATGGTAAATTTCGCAAAGCTTTTTGTGGACATAAATGTCGTTTGATAAAAAACTAATGGTCTGTGACGCAATACATGAAAATAAAAACATCAAACAAGCGAACGGAACATTGCAATAAAGCCTAATATTAATAACTGCAATGTTGTGTGGTAACAAGTGAAGTTTAAAATTAATTAAAGGTTACAAGACAATGAAGACATTGCTAATTGAGCAACATACTAACAACGTTAAATAGTTGATGCATAAGTCGGTTCCGAGATAAAGTTAGATATTCTGACTATTGAGTTTTGGTGAGCTAATTTTTAAAGTAAACATAAACTAGGTGAAATCGTAGAGCTCAATGACCTTTGCAACAAAAATGTGTGTATTCTAGTTTTCACTTGCTTGTTATGTAAAATGATGAACAGTAATTACTATTCCCATTGAATTATTCAACAAGAAAAACTGACAGAGAACTCTATTTGTTTAATACACATAAACCAATTGTTTACTTACGATCTGCATGTAATGCACAATGCATTGAAAAAGGTTGACGATCAGTTGAGTTGATTGGAATGAGCGCCTTCGTATCATCATTTGTACAGTCAAACTTGTGCAACAATGCTTTCAGTAGAGTGCCACGTACCAATCGGTCCCTATCATTGGCGAATTGACATGCTTCGGAACTAAAACATAAATAGTTAAATAAATATGAGCAATCAGGCAACAAAACGGTATGAAGAACACCGAAAAAAATTAAAAATATAGCAGTCTTGAATCACGAATCAACACATGAAAGAGAAATATAACGCAATGACCTTAAAACACCAGACAAGAGGGCTTCAAAACACTTTCGTTGAGCTAACATCTGATTGTACATTATAGCCTAATAAATAGGGTATCAGATGTCGTACAACTTACTTGAGATATTGTCAAGAATAACTCTATAGAGTGTTCTCTTAGTTGTCCTGAGGTATATTTATTACTCTTCTTTATAAAAAAAATAAATGACTTATGGAGAAACTAAATCTCTTATTCCAAATGATACATTTAGTATTTTATTATTGTTGTTTCATTATTTCTTCACAATATTGTTGTGGTGTGATCTACTTATATCTATATAAGTAGTATATGGTGTGGGTCAGACATAGAATGTATTTTGGCAGAAGACCGATGAGGAAAGAACTAAAATGAAGCGCAATCGTTTGGAAAATGCATGAGCAATGGAATAAGAGAAGAAACAGTGAAGATTGAAACAAATTGTTGTTAATTTGCAAATCGACTGTTCATTGTTTGGTAATCAGAATTTACTGAGATAGTCTGTAATGTTTGCTTAAATACATTCGATTGTCCCAACTAGTGTTTTGTTCACTACATTGTTAGTTTTCTTTTTTACATGCATCACCAATACCAAGACATGAGTAAAAAAGTAAAACTACAATATTCTAGAAAATTTAAAGGAAAAGGAATAATACACATATTATCATTAGTATGAGAAACAGTTCACATAGGAGTATAACAGGTTTTATTGCCTTTATTAACTACAAAAGGAACTGATTTAATTTGAAATGGCTTGAATTATCCCGTTATTGGTATTTTGACTGAAATGTGATTAATCTTGGTTGGTATGTATGCGTCCTGTGAGGATTGTCTTGATATAACTACTACGGCACAAATTAATACAGAATCGACGGAATTTGGCTAACACTGAGATCCATGATGCACGTTTCGTTCTATTTAGGACTCGTCCGCTGGATGTGCCTGGATTAATGACATTTTATATCAGTTGCACAAGTGGCTACCTGGACACAGTAGCTAAGTGAATAACGCGATAGCGTTTGAAATTAACGGTACTAGGTGAAAATCGACTCTGGAACTTAAGTCTAGCTGATGAGTCCCAAATAGGATGAATATCTGTCACACAACAAACATTTCAACGTTGACAAACCACACGCCAATGATGAGGGAAAAGACAAAACATTTAGGACAATTTTATATTCCGTAGAGAAGTCAAATATGGAAAGATTCCACTAGATTTTGTTACTGTAACAAGCAATGATCGCAAGGCATATTATAAAGTTATCTAACTAAAAGCGATGGTACCTGATCGGGTAACAGCATATTTTACTGCGGAAATATAAATCAAGAAAGTGTCATCAAGTTTGTCTTTGAAAGAGAGAGAACTAATTTGTAATAACAACAAAAACCAGAAAACATGATCTTTTCACAAAAAATGGATTTAACTATAAAACCACATGAGTAAACATATCGTAATAAACGAAATGAAGAAACTTACCAACGACAAACATTCCTATGATCAAAAACATTGGGAAGTGCACTTTGTTGTTCACTTGAAGAAATTGAATTATGTTCCAAGTGAAAAAATTTATTCAATCCATAATCTAGTTTATCGACGTCATGAGAATAAATAGGATTACTATCCTACATAATAAAAAAGAAGCTTTCTGCACTTACGAGGAATCCATTATTTATTTATTTGAATTATATATTAATAAAAAAAACTACTACTTACCAATGAGTGTCATGAAAATAATAATATTTTAAATAGTAAAACAGCAACGTATATAATGGTAATAATAGTAATGGTCAAGTAAGCGATGATGTGCGTGGGTTTAAAATACCGGCACTTGATTGTTGGAAAACGATGATTTGAACTAAGGAACCACAGACCTATATCTATCGAACAACTAAAAAACATTTGAAATTTAAGTCTCACATATATAAGTAGTTAATGTTTTGGTGTCAACTGATACCAAGTCGATAAGTTGTTAGTAAAAGATTTTTATCCAGTACTACTTCCAGAAAATGGTTGTGTAAATCTCCACGGGATATAACAGTAATAACAATAGAAATAAAATTAATATTATAATGGTAATGGTAACAGTAGTGTGAGTGGTAGTGTGGTATGTGCTACTTTTGTCGACATAAATAGTATATAACACTAATGAGGAATAGAATGATTGGCAGCAAAAGGTTAAGAAGATCGATGAGGAAAGAATGGAAAGAGATAGTAATTGATATGTGTTGTATCCCGTGGAGAATTATGAATGGTAACTTTGAGGACTACTTATAGACCAATATGATATGTATATTTCTTATTGTATAATTGTTAGGTAACTAAAGTATCCATATTCGTGTCCCTCTTATTATAAGCTTTATTATGACCTATGGACTATTTCTATACAATTTACCATTTCCGAGTTATCCCCAGTCTATTGATTACTTTTCCCCCTATTCACAGCCACATTTGACCAAATCTTGTACAAATGTTATTTTCTATTTTATGGTACGTTGTGGTCAGTTTGTTTGGTATATAAATCCAGTATGATTGAGAAAAATTATTCATATTGCAGAGGCTGTTATTGGTGTTCTGGACTTAACTGGCTGGGCTAGGCAGAAAGCAGGATTGATAAGTACTTAAGACTGCTCATGCAGTTTCGTGTATCATTGCTCTGATCGATAATTCAGTGCTCTCTAATTGGCGGTGTTATCACTCATATATCAAACAGGGCACGTACACACTCACACGATATAACAATTTTAAGTTACGAGAGCAATCATGGCGAGCTTTGTTAAATGGGTTTCACCCAATTATGGAATTGCGAATGATGAAATCACCTGTTTACACAGTAATGATGAACAAAAAGAAAGTGATGTGAACGTGCACATACATATATAAATTTTATTCCGAAGATTATTTGATAATGCATCAAACTACTGACATGGAGGTAACCACAAGGTACCACGTGCTTTCTAAATATTTATGTTTCATGTTACGACCAAATGTAATTACACATCTCGTTGGATGTTCAAGAAGGAATAATAAACAGAAAATATAATAAATGGTGTATTCAACACAATGTAGTTCCCAATTTAAGATAGCTTTGAGACTGGACACAAATTGAGCAATCATTTCTATTTGATAGTGAACTGATCTGTGTTATGACACCTTTTCGCAACACACAGATGAAATCAGTTTCAAAATTTAAACTATCATGAAAGGAAAGTGGAGAACAAACAGAATTATTAGGTTACAAAGATAATGCACCTCCGTATAACGGATATGATAGTAAGTTTTGCTTGGAGTTCCCAATCGTTGATTTTTGACACCTAGAGAACCAGTACATTTAGTGAAACAACGAATAAAAACGAATAAGTGCTTGGGTAAACTACTGATCGGTAGCATTTAAGAAAAGTAGTAGTAATTCGGAAAAAATAAAGCAAGTCTTGCAAATAGAAGGAAATAACAAAATAATAATAAGATGATTGATACATGGTGGCTACAACGTAAAAGTCGACATCTACCAAAATTATCGCATAGAAAAACTGGACGTGATGTTTTTTGACAAAAAAGCTTATAATGACATCCGCTTAAAGCCTGTAAAACACGACGGATTTAGACATTTTAGTTGCCGTGGACAAATATGAGGTGCTTTATTTGTTACAGTATTAATGAGACAGAAAAACGTCGCTTTTGAACTTCACTATCATTAATAAAGCATTATGATGGGTTGATGAAAATTTCACCAAGACAATAATGCATAGCCTGCTTTGAAAAGTGAAAAATTACAAGCACAAAAACTTTCCTTTCAGTGAAGAGTTAGACTCTGATATTCTACGAACAGAAGCGTCGACCCTAGTAGCGAACACTTCGAACATGTAATCTATGTTTTGTAGAATGTGTTCACTTGAAATACTGTAATAACGACGTCAAAACTTAGTAATAATATCTCGGAAACACAGAGATAGATTTTATTTAACTTACCAAGTAAACTCGAAAATTATTTTGGGGCGTAGTCAGAAGAGCATTTAAACCATGTACCAGTCGGTCACGATCACTAAATTATTTTTAGTAAAAAAAGATGAAATATGATAATAACCAGATACATGACATTCAATATACAACATTAGATATTACTAAAAAAAAAAGAAAAATATGATCACCACAGAAATACTGGTTACGTTAACATCTCAAATACATAATCCAATCATATGTGTTATGGCATCGTTCTAATGACTCAGTTTTTAAGATAATTGTTACTTGTATAACAAGAAGACCATATATGACTGAACTGAACGAGAAAGCAAACTTACTTTATGGCCAAGCCTAAAGTAACAAAACCGTATATATTCCTATTAACATACAACTTTAAATCATTTTACAATGAAGAATAAGTGATTATACCAGAATAACTGCAACTATTATCTAAAAGACAGTTTTAGAAATATCCGAATGATTCGCTATTAATCTGAATCCATGATTTTAAATTGCTTATCAACATCTTGTTATGACTATAGAAATACTACTCCTTAATAATTTAAATTAGCTATCATTTGAAATTATTCAAATCTACGATCTCAAGAACTAAACCATGTTTAACTAGCACATATTGAATTAACTAACCAAGAGTGTGAACCCATGGGGCGAAATCAATAATCTTGAATAATTAATCCTACTTTGAAGATCCAGTCTCATGGACACAGCTATCTTGGAGAGTTAAAATTTGTTTTCAAAAGTTGAAAATAAACACACTGACCATTTTCAGGGGATTTGTGATGGTTTGTTACTTCATTTTGGTAGGATTAATGATCATGATTTCACCAAGATATATCTCCGACAAAATCAGAGAGTGATTAAATGTATAAGCGGTCGAAAAACACAACTTATCGATTGCCAGAAGGAATGCTTAAATATATATGAAAAATTATTTACAAAGATTGGTCAGGTAGAATCATAATATGGTTAAATAACTTGGAGAAGATTAGATTCAGTATTAAACTTTTGTCTTACTTTCAATGAATACGAATAATCTCATTTTATTTATCTTACGTTAATGTTACCGTAATGTTTTGGTTTCTGGATAATATAACCAATTTACAGTACCTCATGAATGATGTAATATAGAGAAATAAGTTATTAAAGATTATTTATTCTTAGTTATATTTTAATTAACTTAAAGCCTTGTCTTATAATTGAAGTTTGATCTGAGATATTACCTTTTTAATCAGTCCCTAGACTACCATTAGTCTACGACTTTTAAATTCGAAATAAGTAGGCCAATTCGAGATAACTCACAATAACAGGTTCCAAGCCCTACAGGACCCACAGGAAGAAGAAACTACGGTGGAGGACAACTGAAAAGGGATCAATGAAACATTGACTTCAAAGTGTCAGGAGGTTCTGGGTTGCAAGAGGCATCATCATAAGGAATGGGTCTCTATCAAAACCCTGCACAAGATTCAAGAAAGATATAACGAGAAAATAGCAATTAGCAACAGTCGAACACGAGCAGAGAATGTCAAGGCGCAAACAGAGTACGCAAAAGCACACAAGCAAGTGAAGAAAAGCATTAAAGCCGACAAGCAGAAATACATGGGAGAACTAGCAAGGACGGCGGAAAAAGCTGCAACAGAAGGAAACGCCAAACGACTTTATGATTCAACGAAGAAAATGGCAGGGAAATATAGTAAACAAGAGAGACCACTCAAGGACAAAGAAGGCAAACCAATCATCAAGATTCACAAACAGAGGAACAGATGGGTAGAACACTTTGACAGTCAGTCAGTCAGTCACAACGTAGAACTTCGTACGTACGTACATCAGTTCCAGTTGCCATACCACATTAGCACAGAGATGCAGTTGTCGATTCAATTCCCATAGTGGTAGAAGTAGTAGGAGTATAATCAGAAATCCAAAAGATTAGGGTTTGAAGAAATGATTGAAGGAGTATAGTACAGTGAAATAAATTTGGAAAGAGAAAAAGATAAAGACATGAGGAATTCAGAAGATTAGAATTTGGTGGAACACAAAGAGTGGATGCATCTTCGCCATTGCAAACGATTTTGAGCCATGTCATTCAAGGTCTCTAACCATCGGTTGCTGTCATCTCGCGAATCCCAACCAGGTAGTCTACACCTACCAACATGGCCCAGTCCACTTGTCAGTGACTTCATTGATTTGTGCCACGTTTTGGTCTGGCCACCCCTAGCTTTCTTCCAACCTACTCCTACACCATGAAACATTGCACGTCGGGGCAGTCGGTGGTCGGGCATACGTAACACATGTCCCAGCCATCTCAACTGATGAAGTTTCACTACTTCATCAATCGATTTGCCATCCCTACCTAGTACTCGTTTCCTAACAACTGCATTACTTACCCGGTGGTCCCAGGATATACGAGCAATGCTTCGAAGACACCTATGATCGAACACTAGTAGCCTACGAATATCCTCTACTCTTATTGGCCATGTTTCACTGCCATAAAGTAGGACGGAACGGACTGCTGCACAGTAAACCCGTCCTTTGGTTGCTAGACGGATATCTCGCCTACGCCATAAATGACGCAAGTTGGCGAAAGCTAGACGAGCCTTCTGTATCCGTGCTGAGATTTCGTCACATACCAGACCACAAGGGCTGATGAGACTCCCAAGATAAGTGAAGTGGTCTACACGCTCAACTACTTCACTCCCTATCATTAGTTCAGGTGTCGATGCAACCCAATCCTGAAGTAAAATTTTGCACTTCGAGGGAGAGAATCGCATTCCGAACATGCCTGCATAGTTGCTTATAGTGGTCAGAAGACTCTGCATGTTGTCAGCGTCTTCACCGAGTAAAACTATGTCGTCGGCGTATTCTAAGTCAACAAGTGAGCCTCCTGGTAAAAGTTCAACTCCTGGAGGTTTAGCTGATGAAAGTGCTATCTCTAAAAGTATGTCAATGACAAAGTTAAACAAGAATGGGGAGAGTGGACAGCCCTGACGAACGCCACTTGTGGTAATCAGTTCTGATGATAGTTCGCCATAGGCTCTAAGTCGACCAGTTGTGTTCGAGTAGAGAGCCTTTATGAGGTTAATGTACTTCTTTGGTACTCCTTTCAGTGACAAACATTGCCATAGAACCTCACGATCAACAGAGTCAAATGCCGCCTTAGGGTCAAGAAATACTACTATTGTGGGACGTCTGAATTTGTGTCTATGTTCTAGAACCTGACGTAGGGTGAATATCTGGTCTATGCAACCACGTCCAGGTCGAAAACCAGCTTGGTTTTCTCTAGTCTGCTCTTCACGAGCTTTGGTTAGGCGCCTAAGTATTATTGAAGCTAATATTTTAGACGCTATATTAATCAAACTGATCCCTCTGTGATTGTCACAAGAGGACTTTTGTCCTTTCTTATAGACTGGCACAATCAGTGATTGGGACCAGTCAGATGGAATTACGTCCAGTTCCCAGATTCTACCTAAGACCTCAGTCAGTCTCACTGCTAGTACTGGACCACCATCCTTAAAAATCTCAGGGGTCAACCTGTCAGGGCCTGCTGCTCTCCCTCGCTTCAGATTTCCTATAGCTTTTTCAACCTCGCAGAGGGTTGGAGGACTTACATCAATTTGCCATTCAGGACGACTGGGGATCGTGGGTAATTGAAGTGTGGCTGAAGGCCAGTTGAACTGATCCCTAAAGTGTTCTGCCCATCGATCCAACCTCCTGGATTGAGAATGAATAATATGCCCATCTTTATCTGAGATGGTTTCACTGATATTCGGGTTCCTAATACCGGTTTCTTTAACGAGTCTGAATAGCTGCCTACTGTTACCTATTGCCGCTGCCTTTTCCATCTCTCTTGCTTTCGCTACTCACCACTGTTCACGATCATTACGTAGACTTCTTATAAGCCTGCGCTTAAGTTGACTCCACTCTTCGTTATGTTCAGAGCCAGGTGGGATGAGTTTTCGAGCATCTATCAGTGCGGCAGATGCTGTTGAGATCCATTGTTTCTCCCTAACGTTATGGTTTACCTTAATAGCGGATATCACTGCTGTTTCCACAGCTTTTCGGATGTCATTCCATGCTGCCTCGGGGTGGACACAACTTACATGGCTGCCTAACTGTTTTTCTAGTTGTTCCTGAAATATATTCTTAGCTTGCCTATCATTAGGTAGAACCCTTAGAGGCTTCCCTGCAGTGTCTTTCCTACGACCAGTAAGACGCAGACAGATACGTGCTCGCACTAGAGCATGATCTGAATCTAAGCATGTGCCCCAGAATGAGCGACAGTCTTCTATCGAGCCCCTCCATCGGTGGCTGATAGCGATGTGATCTAATTGGGTCCAACGTTGGGACGAATTCGGGGGTCGCCAGGTCAAAAGATGTTTTTCCTTATGCTTAAAGTTAGTATTTGCAAGAAATAGGCGGTTATCTGAGCATAGCTGCAACAGACGGTCGCCATTATCTGTTCTTTTCGCCATGACACCATAAGATCCACCCAGGTGTCTTTCCCTTTCACTTAGTTTACCTACTTGAGCATTAAAGTCACCTGCTACTATTACTACATCAGAACGCCTAGCTTCTCGGAGAAGGTCAGAAAGTTTCCTGTAAAACTCATCTTTTATATCGTCTGAGCTGCAGTCAGTGGGAGAGTAGGCAGAGACGACGAAGAGGCAACGACGAGTTTCCCTATCTTTCCGGGTCCTTACTGATCCGTTTAGTCGGACAGCGCATAGACGACTGTCTACTGGGATCCAGTATAAAAGAGCTAGTTTTGCCCTACGACTTAATGCTATACCTACTCCAGCGAGGCCACGGGAAGCAGCGTCAGGGCTTCCAGATACACGAAGCGTGTATCGAGATGAAACTTTAATTTGATTAGGTGCGGTCAAATGAATGACACTACTCGGATCTTGTATGCGCGTTTCGGAGACGCAGCACACATCGATGGTGTAAGATTCTAGAGTCCTAGCTAAGGAAGCCTGTTGTCCTATTTGGCACAATGTTCGGACATTAAAAGTTCCTATATGTAGTTTAGAGCGTGGTTTCAGGAGACCAGGAATAACGTTCTGTGTA